TTTGTAAAAAAATATTTTTTGTTTGGGATAGGATATTAGATCCATTTTAAAGCTTTGTTTAAAAGTTATAATTTTCTATTTCGGACTTTTTGGTTAACAAAAAAGGTTACACAGACTTCATGAGGATATATAGATTTTAAAATCAACTCTTTTGTTAAGAGGTCTTGAATTTCCTTTTTATAATGGTTTTCAAGTATTTTATTCATTTAGATTTGTCCAACCTCCTTTGTAGGAATATGTGTTTCACAAAAATCATGTTCATAAGGTAAATCAACCATATGTTATTTTCTAAAGCAAAAAGCATTTGATAAATCAAGCATATATTTCTTTTTCAACATGGTTTTAGAATTCAAAATTTTTCTATCTTAGATTAGGATCTAGTAATTGTTTTTCAATCCTATGAAATGAAACATCATTTTGTAAAATTTTGAGTTGCTTTTGTTTTCCTTGAATAAGACAATTTCTTTGATTTTCATATATAGAGTGACCTTTGATAATGTTAATATTTCTAGTTTTAGGTTTTACTATAAAGGAAAAAACTAGTTTATTATTTCTAATTTTTGTAGAAATACAATCATGATTAACCTTGTAAGAGTGATCATATTAATAAAAAGAGTTTTTAATATGATTGCGTTGTATTTATTTTACAATAACAAATGAGTTATTAATGAGAAAATCATTGTTAAGAATTTTTGCTTCTATTTGTGATTTGATTTCTAGGAAAGACATGTTTGTAACTAATGTTCATTTGCATGTTCAAGAACTTTTTAGGTATAATTCCCTCTTTAATACAATTAAGATCCGCTTTTGTATAAAAAGAGCAATAGTTTCCAATTTAAAATCATTTGGAAGGAACAAAGTAATTTTTACCAAATTTTTGGGAAGTAATTTGCTTTAAAATGTATAAAAAATCTTCAAATTTTTTTCTATGTTAGAAAATTCTAAGTTTTGCTCATTACTTTTATTATTAGAATTCTCTTTATTTTTTATAACAAATAATTGCTTTGTTAGGAGAAATTGTAGTATTTCAAAAATTTATTTTGCTTTTGTTGCAATTGATGAAGTTCATGTTTTATGGTTTTAATTTTTATTTGAAGATCTTTTATAGTGGTGTTATGGCTCTTTGTCTTTTTGGTTTTGTCAAAAATTATGGGAAGGTTGTAAGTGTTGATTGAAAGAGAACGTGAGGGTGGTGATTATTCAAAATTTTATTGTAGTTTGTTGAGGTATTCTTTTTGGAGTTATGGGTTTTGGATGTGGTTGATAATATCAAGGAGAAATTTTTTATAGAGGCTTATCTCGAAGGTATTGTTTTAGAATAAGAGGATTCAATAAGGAAGGCTTCAATTTTATTAAGTATTTCTTCCTCAAGTTATAATTCATGTAATCTTTTATAGATCTTTAATACTTGGAGATATGACCTTTTTCACCACATTTGTAACAAGTGATGTTTTTATAATTAAACTTGTTGTAAGGTGTTGAACTTTTATGATGAGATTTTTGGATAGATGTAGAGGTCTTTTTCCCTTTTGAGGTGTTCTTTAGAATGTTTTTATTATTTGTAATGTGTTCTTCACTTGGTTTTACAATCTATGCAAAGTTGTCAACTAGAGGAATGTGGTTGTGATGAAATATCAAATTGTTGACAAAAAGATCATAATTCTTTTTTTATTTTTATGTGTTTCATATTTTAATTATTTTTTTATTTTTTAAATCTGGATAAATTTTTAATTTTTTTATAAAGCTAATAAATTGGCCATAAATTAATTTATGGTATGGAATGTGGTCATTGAATTTTTTTCCTAATTTTGTTTCTAACTTTTTCTCCTAAAAGAGGAGGAAGACCAACTAAGAATTTTTCTTTTCAAAATGGTTGATTTGAATTTTCTCTTAACATAATTCTAGTGAGAAGATGTCTTTCTATCATTTGAAATCACTAAGTTTTTTGCATTTATGGTTTGACAAAAGTTCAAGCATTTTTATCTTTGAGAGGAGAAGGATCTCTTATGAAATAAAGAAATAGCTAAGATGAATGTAGCTACATCATCTTGTATGGGTTCACTATTCTCATCAAGGATGGGTTGTTTATTTTCATCTAAACCGATAGATTTTAGGAATTCAAGTTGTTGTTAAGGTGTAAGATGGTAATACAACCATCCCTCGGGCCACCGAAATCTGCCATGAGCAAGTCTCGCATTTGCTTGGTAAAAAAATAGAAGATTGTGTTTTATATTATGACTATGGTCATTTGTTATAAAAAAACAAAGGATATTATATTCAAACATTCCATCTCGTGTTTCATTTATAGAAAAACTCGGCATTATAATGGTGTTCTAAAAGGATGTTTGGTTTTTGTTTGATGTCAATGTTTGGTGTATTAATTCTTAGATAATAAGGCATTTGGGTATTTTCCCAATGTAGTTTATTTATTTCTAAGGAAGGAGTTTCTTCTTGGAAGGCATTTCATCCTCTCGATGAGGTTTCAAAGCCATTTATAGTGTGGGAACCTCGAAGAGTTTTTGGTGCGAGTAGAGTTGATTGTGTTTCTTCTATTTTATTAATTTGTTTTTGTACTGGCATGGAGAAATTCTAATTTGGTCTTTTGGAATTGATTTTTACTAGCATTAGAAACCTTATAAGGTTTAAAGATGAGATTTTTAAGTTTTTGTTAAGGAGCTTTTTGTGTAATCACAATTGGGTTTTTGACACTTTTTTCAATTCTCGGTAAGTTTATTACTACCTATGGTATAGATATACTTATTGGTAAAAAAAAATTTTATGTAATTTTTTTAATATCTTTAGGAGATACATGGTTAGTTTCTTTATAGACTTTAAATGGTGTTGCAAAGATTGTGCATCGGTGAAGTGAGAGTTTTAATTTTCTTAGAGATGGGTGTTAAGACTTTATTAGTTCACCTTGAGTTGTTTTCTAAATAGTTGTTTCGTTGTTGACTTGGATTGTGTGAAAGGGATAATGAATGCTATTTTTTGAAGCATAAATTTCAAACCAATCAAAGAATAGAATATGGACACAACGATTTTGACAAAATCATAAAAAAATTATTGGATATGTTGTCTTTGTTCAATAAAATATTTAAAAAACTATATTTGTTTCTTTTCGTTGTGAGGGGAATAAAAATCTTTTTGTAACTAAGTTTTATTCAATTTAAAATCTTTTTCTAAAACATTCAATTCAATATTGATATTTTTAGTTATAGAAGAAAAAGATGGAGATGTGGTGGTGATGGGATTTTTTCAAATTGTGTTGTATAAATAGGTATAAGGATAGTGTTCGTATGATTAATATTTTGTAGTGTGGTTGGAATTTCAGAAGTATAGTGTTTATGTGGATGATAAGAGGGGTATATTGCAGAAGAAAATTTTGAAATTCTAGCTAAATTAATGGTGTTTGAAGAAGATGCATTGTTTGAACATCTAAAGCTTGTGGATTTTCTACTTACAAATGAAAGTTTAACTTTTTCATTAGGATATTGGGTGATTTCTTTTAATTTTGTGTTTGGGCTTGTAGGAATGGTGGTTCAAGTCTTGTGGCTCCTTCAATGATTCATTCTTTTAGGAGAGAAATATCTCTTTATTTTATAGGTTTTGGAATCATAGCATTGGATCTCGGATAGATTAGTTTATGGAAGCATGGTTTCTCTTTTTTACCTTTGGATAATGGCTTTGGATGCAAAGGTCGTAACCATAGTTTTGTAGTGGAGTTTGTAAATTATAGCAATCGATATAGATCCTAAATTCATTTTTTAATTATGAGTTTTGATTTGTAAAACCGTACAATCAAGAATATTTTGTCTTCTAAAAAAATTGTTAAATTTTGATAGCAATCAAAAGAAATTAGACTATTACGAGAGTAGATTCTACGTAACTAAGTAAAAAATCTTGCAAATGATAAAATCAAGCATCTCTTAAAACAATAAGGATTGATGTATTTAATCTTTCTTTTGTAAGGAGTTTTATACCTACATGAGCTAAATCAATGTGATTGTATTTCTTTTCTTTACGTTTTTTTACGAGATGTTTGCGAGAAAAATTTAATTGTTTCAAAAGATTTTGTTAAATGTATATCTCTTTCCTCAATTTTGATTGTATAATATGTTTTTGAGAATAAATTAAATTTGCTTAGTTTGAAAATTTGGTCTTTTTGTACTTTAAGAATTTCTCATTCATCAATTGTTTTTTTTTTTAAATTTCAATTATTAATTGTTTACTATTCACTATCTTCTCTCTCGTTTTAGAGATATAAGAGCCGAAGACAGGTTGACTTCTAGAAAATAAATTCATATTTAAAATTGTTAATTCAAAACATTCTCTACAATAAGATGAGATAAACCGACGATTTACAACCTCTCTAGTACTTAGACCTGAATCACTCTTTCAAAACAATATAAAAATATCTGAATTAATGTGAATTAAAATACAGATCTCAGAGCATATATCAATCCCATGTAGCTTTGAACCTTTTATTTATGTATGGGTGTGTGCGGCGGGTGGGGGGTGGTGTGTGGGATTGATGGGATGGGGTTAGTTGGATAAGTTTTTGGACTGAATTTGATAATATTTATAATATACATCCCTGACTCGAAGTAATAACTATCTGTAAAAGCCGTATGTATTTTGATCGGTTTAAATCAATTCAGATAATATACATTGGATTCGGATTAAATTGCCATTTCTACGTAGATTCTTGCATATAATCTGCTTTTCATATCAACCCGATTCTTGATTCACCTAGAAATCACAGTCATCCAGGTCCCACAACCAAATCCACGGCCACAATTGAAACTATCATAAAGGCAACAAACTCCAATGAGACACAAACGATCAACCGCGTATATAGGCCAGTCAGCAAGCCACCTAAAGAGAAGAGCCCACTTCACCCCACTGTTTATTCCTTTTTAGAGTTCGAAAAAATAAAAAGCGGGTTTTAGGGTTTTTGATTTGAGGAAGAAAGAAACAAAGCAAGAAAAAGAAAGAGAGAGATGTCAAAGCCAAGATGTTATTTAGATATAAGTATAGGAGGAGAACTAGAAGGGAGAATAGTGGTGGAGCTTTACAAAGATGTTGTCCCTAAAACTGCTGAGAATTTCAGGGCTTTGTGTACTGGAGAAAAAGGCATTGGACCAATCACTGGTGTCCCCCTTCATTACAAGGTTAGACTCAGACCGTCCACATTTTAACTCTTTGTTGGTTTTTTTTTTCCATTTCTTCTTCGAACTTCCTCTTTTTTATTTTTACCGTGTTCCTAAATTATTGAGATTTATATTTGAAGAAATGGGACTTGTAGATTATTTTGTGTTGATTGTAATTATTTGTTCTCTTTTTCTTCCTTTCCTTTTGTTTTCTTTTACAGCAACATTTTCTTGTTTTCCGGTCTTGCTTGTAGTAGAAAGAAATGGGCTTTCCTCGATTATACGTCCTGTTATCATGCTTCTTTCTCCACTATTTCTAGCTTTGATTATGCTTTGTGCATTGTGTATGGAGAGAAAGAGAGCCGTGGGTTTTAGTGTAAAGGGATTTTTTTTTTTTTTTTTAATGATAAAAAAAAGAAGATTTCTTGTTGTTTGTTTAATTTTGCTCATTGGCAAAGTATTAGCTTCTTGGGGCATTGTGGATTTCGTCAGACTTGTAAATTGTGATATGTTTATATATCTCTTAATACATTTTGATGTAGAGTAAGTTATTGTTACCTAAGTTTATCAATCGAGAAAAATCTAAACTTTGTGAATTTGGAGATAACATCCCAACTTTGGCTGCTAGCTTGTAACGCTAAATTATGAAGCTTTGCTTTAGTCAGATTGTTTTTTGTGATTTCTTGTTTTGTTTTGCTGATGGAGCCTGAATACTTAATTGCAGGGAGGTCGCTTTCATCGTGTCATCAAAGGTTTTATGATACAAGGTGGTGACATATCAGCTGGGGATGGAACTGGAGGAGAGTCTATCTATGGATTGAAATTTGATGATGAAAACTTTGAGTTGAAACATGAAAGAAAAGGAATGTTGTCGATGGCTAATATGGGCCCTGACACCAATGGATCTCAGTTTTTTATTACTACCACTCGAACTTCTCATCTAGATGGAAAGCATGTTGTTTTTGGGAAGGTAATCAAAGGAATGGGAGTAGTTCGTTCTATTGAGCATATTGCGACTAAGGTTGGTGATTATCCCTCTCAAGATGTGGTGATTGTTGACTGTGGAGAAATTCCTGAAGGGGAGGATGATGGGATATCCAACTTCTTTAAAGACGGTGATACTTACCCTGATTGGCCAGCTGATTTAGACACAAAGCCAGATGAGATTTCTTGGTGGATGAAGGCAGTTGATACGGTTAAAGCTTTTGGAAATGAACAGTACAAGGTAGCTCATGTATATAATGTTTTTTTTCTTGTTTCTCTTAGTTTCATTTGATAGAGAGCATTCTTTGCTGATTAGATGCAAACTGCCTTTATTTTTTCTGTTATGTCAAATTATGAATTACTCAAGCCAGTTTGATCTTTGGCTTTCCATTGGCTTGTATGATTATGTTTCTGGTCTTAACTTGACGTTGACTCATGTTCCTACTGCAGAAGCAAGACTGTAAGATGGCTCTTCGAAAATATCGTAAGGCTTTGCGCTACTTGGATGTTTGTTGGGAGAAGGAAGACATTGATGAAGGTGCGTCCGTTGTTCTTTCTTGTTATGTTGAGAACTAACACTATCAGTCTGCTACTTTTAGTTTCTTTATTCCATGTGATGATTTGATGATTGTTTCTTCTTCTTGATTTTTTTTCTCCTGTTGTACAGAGAAGAGCTCATCGCTGCGGAAGACAAAGTCTCAGATATTTACAAATAGCTCTGTACGGTCATTGTTCAACTCTTTATGAAAATTTTATCCTGGTCATAGTTCAAAGAGATATTTATATTTTTTGTAATTGAAAAAGATCTTTGTATTGTGTTTGCATTCTAATTTATCAAGAATTCTAATACATTTTCGCCAACATATGTGCTTTCCCTGTAATCTAACTGGCTGATGTCTCACATTTTTGCCTTAGGCCTGTAAACTGAAGCTTGGAGATATTAAAGGAGCATTATTGGACACAGACTTTGCCATGCGTGATGGAGAAGACAATGCAAAAGCTTTTTTCCGCCAAGGCCAGGTTTGCATCTGCTATTTCTATGAAAAGATTTATTTTGAGGTGCTCCATGCATTTTTACATCCCCAGGAATTTTCGCATTGTTGATAGGATCAGTAATAATTTAATTTGTCTTTTATTTTTTTTTCTTTTGACATATAATCTTCTATCTTAAATTCCTTTCCTTTTTGGTGATAATTTGTAATATTTTACTTCCTAGAATAATTGCATGTGAGAATTGCGCTCTATGAAAATAGGTTTTAAGTTCTACAATTTAACCAAATTGTTAGCTCTGAACTAAGTTAACAACTAGGAATCATAACCTTGAATTAAGAATTGAAATGAGGGGTGCTAATGCTCAACTTATGAAAAACATTGGACGGAATGCAAGTTTGACGTTATTCTAAAGAGGATACAGCATAAGGACCAGCATTTTATCATTTAATAAAAACAGAAATTTTATGTCTTTTAGATTAATATTTATTTTAATTGATTCTAAATTCATGTTTTGTTATTTCTCAATGTGAAAGTATTTCTTGATTTTAGTTCAAATATTATTCTCATCTCGTAGTTGGTACTAGCATGCCAGATATATCATATGCTTTTTTAAGACTGTTTATTGTAGCATCTATGCTAGATGCCAACAATAGCTTCAGGAAACTCATGATGTGTATTCTGATATCTGGTTAATGGTTTCGCATTGATCTCAGGCATATATGGCACTCAATGACATAGATGCTGCAGTTGAAAGCTTCAAGAAGGCTCTGGACTTGGAGCCAAATGATGGTCAGTTGTTCTGTTTGTTTGGCATTCTAGTTATTGCTTAGCAACAAGACTTTTGAGATGGGTTTATAGAAGCTTTGGTGTTAAGTACTTGGAATTGTGGTGGAAATGATGGGTCTATTTACACTGTATGATTGCCATTCTTAATGTATGATATTGCATTATCTTTTTCTTTCTGTTATTGCCATTGAAGGGACTGTGTCTGTAACATTATTATAACCAAAGTTGGTTGAATGTGATCACAACTCTGTCAATCTTTTGCCAATGAATTATTAGTTTGTATTACTTGCATGTTTGTGCAAATGATTAAATCTCCAAGTTTCATTGTTACACTCCACTGAAAATATCAGCTAAGTGAATTTGTGGTTACTTTGAATTTAAGAATATGATAAAGCGTTAGCATCCTCATCTTACAATATGTTTATTTATTTATTTTTTAATTTTTTTCAGGAGGAATAAAGAAAGAGCTTGCAAGTGCTAGGAAGAAGGTCAGCAAATTGTTTGTTGTATCATCTCTTGTTCTTAATGTTATATAGTTCCTTCCTCCTGCTTCTAAAGATTTTCATCTGTTGAAAGTACTACAGATTGCTGATAGGCGTGATCAGGAGAAAAAGGCCTATGCTAGAATGTTTCAGTAGTGTTCAGCTGGTAAGCTTGTATGATAGATACCTTTGTGTTAGCTCTATGATTAGTTATTATGAGGCTAACTTACCATTTCTTGCTTTGTAATACAGACTACCTTTTGCTTGGATGGTTCAGTTTTGATTTCTCACATGTTAGGTTGTATAATCAACGGTTTAAAGGTTTCTGTTTTTGGATTTCGTCTTAGTAACAATCAGGTACTGATTCTGTGCCTATGGTTATTTCCTTATAGGTTGTGTAACGTGGCCAAGTTCTGAAATAAGAATACTACTAAGTTTTTCATTAGTATTGTACTCATTTTCTATACGTTTTTTTTTTTTTCTCTGTGCAAGTCTTAATGTTGATATTTGAGAAATGATAGATTGATATAAGATTGAGCCAAAATTTGTGGTAAAGCACAGAATTCTTGGGCTTCTTTTGAGCACTTTTTTATTGTTGTTTTTCTAGGAACTTATCTGCTGTCAATGTCTGCTCATCTCCTAATGAATTTCTTTTCCCTTTCAGGTTTGTTTTTTGAGGATATATAAGCTTCCAGATCTTTGGAGGGGGCCTTTTTTTGTTTAAAAAAACCCTTGTGAGGGCAAATTAGAAAGACAGTAGTTTGAACTTATTTTGTTCTAGATGGTTCAATTTTTTGGTCAGACCAGGGTTAGTTGTAACAGTGTACTGGCCAAAACCAGATTTCTACTTGCATCCTCATGTTGAATCATTCTAGTTTAAGATGCTTTTAACAAGGATACTTTTGACTTCAAATGTATGATTTCTTTGTCATTAGCTGCTTGTGGTCTTATTTGATTGTGGGTTCTTCCGCAGCTGCTGGGGGCTAGGGATTTTATAATTTCATGAATACGGCTAGGGATGTTAACACCTTTCCTAAATTTATGACTAACCACCATTTTCAAGTCACCGCTCTGCAGCAATTCCTATTTGTTTACCAAGTGAAAATTGCAGCTCTCACTTGTCTTGAAGATGGGATTGAAACTCTCCCATGTTATGTTGCTAAAGATATCTTTTAAGTCTTGGTGAAGTACCGTGGCTCAGGACCTATATAACTCAAGGCCGAACCCCCGATAAGAGATTCCATTGGGCTTTCAGATCCGTTTCTAAACCAAGATGACAATACAAGTTTAAAAAAAAAAAAAAAAGAGAAGTCAACGTGGCCCACATGATCGCCTGGAAATCTGGAATTGTTTGCTTAAAGATTTCAAATCAGACCAATATGGCTTCGACAATAGCAGACATATGATGTATATGTATATGTTAGGGTTAAAAGTATACGAGTCTCCATAGTAACTGTATGGACTTTACATTTACATGTATACAACTGTATCCTTATAGCTAACATAACTATAACTATGTGTCATAATGCGCTCCCTCAAAGAGATAGTTGATCACACACAAATTGATAATTGATCTCCACATGCTTTGCGTGTGCAAGAAACACAGGATTGACAAAGAGAGAAGCAGCACCCAAATTATCAGGCCACAATTGCAGGGGAGAAGAAGGAGAAAGTCGAAGTTCTCAAAGCAAAGACTGAATCCAAACCAATTCGACAATGCCAAATGCAAGAGCCTTGTACTCAAGTTCAGTGGAGGAACGTGCTAGTGAGACTTACTATCCGCAATACCACCCGCCCGATTGGCATAATTAAGGGCATGCAACAATTAAGTATAATCACCTGGAAAGAGAGCATGTTTGGTACCACTGATTGTTCCGTCGCACTCTTGATTGGAAATCAGTAGGTTCCAGTCGGTAAACTTAATTGTTCTTCTTGCTATCAAAATTAGTCTTTCTTGAAATAATCTTTAAAACATTTCCTGACTTCTCTCAACAATAACCACTACGACGTAAAAGTTGGGTGATGAATTGATGATGAGATACTCAAAGTAAGATATCTTGAAAGTATTCCCGAATGTGGAGATCGGTTCTCTCTCGTCAATGGTGGATATACTTGGGCAACGACCTTATGCCTTCTCCGGATATATTCCTTAACGGACTTTTTGATTGTTTTTTCTTTATTTTGCAAAGTAGTTTGGTCAAGAACTACTTCTAGGTTGAATTTGTATTGGTGGACGAAGGAGTCTAGCAAATCCTTCCACTTCAAAATCGTGGCTCTATCGAGACGTATATACCAACTAACAACATCACCATATAAACTCTTACGAAAGAAGTGGATCAAGAGCTTATTATCATATATGACCTCTACCATATGGGTTTTTGGACATTGAGTACCACCGTACTTGGTGAATTTAGGCATCGTAAATTTCCTCATAATGATAACATCGATTACTAAGCACATTTCAACTCGCTTTCACCGAGTCATATAAATCCATGCCCTCGATAGTTTTAGGCGCTCCTTAATTGATAGAAGTTTGTCCGATTCATTTTTCTCCTTAACTTTATGGTTGAAAGGTTCTTTAATAGGGGCATCTATAGTGAGAGCTCCTTGACCAAAAAGTACTTTTAGAAGCACCAAGAACGAATATGGAGCATTAGGATATGATGCCTCTTGCATAGTGAATTGAGTTCGGTATCTTGGCTTTGGTAGATGGGTGAAAGCTTCTTGAAATGTAGACATGATTGAAGAAAGATTAGCCATGTAAGGTAATGATAGTGTTGCTTTAGTAGGAAATGCCTTAGGAACTTCAACGAGTGAGTGACATAGATGATTTAGCTCCTTTAGATGTCCTCTCATTCTCTTGGCTTTCTTGAAAAAGTCTGTTATAGTAAACTAGACAATTGAGCTATTTCTCTCATAAGAGCTTCGACATCTTTGGCATGATTATACTACAACTAGTTCCTTTCTTCATTTTTCATTTTCTTCTTTAGTCCGGTGTTGTAGGCTTTTGTGAAAGTTGAGCTTTTGTCGTACGATCTATATTTTTCATGAGATACGGATACACAACATGAATTTGAGGAACATAGAGTGCTTTCATATGAGAATTCTCTACTCATGATCGAAATGAATATGAAGTTTGCTTGTAACACCCCGATTTTGAAACATTCATATGTATACGTGTGTGTTCATTTGACATTGAACATTCCGATACATTTGAATGTGTGTGTGCTCACTTATTTATGTTTGGTTAAAACATGTGAAATTTATGTTTGGTGTTTACACGAAATGAGCGTTTTATGCTTGCATTAATATTGTGCTTAGTTGTAATAACCTTAAAAAAAATGAGCTAGTATATATAGGGGCAACGAATCGCCCCTTTCAAAAAATTTTCTCTTTTTCTCTCTCCCTCATACATTTTCTCTCTAGAAATTTCCTCCTAATTCTCTCTTCAATTCCTAATCTAAATCATTGTGAAATTAGCTTAGGACACTACAAGAAAAATATCATTTAGTAACAAAAAAAATCAATCGCTATTAAGTGCAAATCCACCACTAAAAGCGCTTAGTGATGGATTTGTGATCGAAAAAAATTTATCACTAAAACGCTTGTCTAGCGACGAATGAATAGTATCCATCGCTAATTTAGTGATGACTTTTCCATTGCTAAATCTCTATATTTTGTTGCTAATTGGTAGCCAAAACCATTGCCTTCCCACAAATAATGCGTCGCTATTCGTCGCTCGTCGCTAATTAATCCAATATTAAACATGGATTTCTCATAAATGCATATGATTGAATTAGTAATTATTTATATTGATTTTTACATGTTGTAGATAAATAAACAACCAACTCAATTAAAGAGAACCCACATGATTTTTAAAAACAAAACTATCTGTTTCATTGAATATCAAAAGATTTGATAAGTATATAAGACCATGCAATCTCCGTGGCATCAACTCCCGAAATTAATCTCTGTTTTTTTTTATTTTTATTATTATCCTAAGCTAGTTCTAATTAGCTACTAAAACATGAACTACTATTTAAGGGATAAAAGTGCAAGTAATTACAATCTAAGCAATTCTACACCAAATTGCCCAATACTTCATTCCTTGCATCCTTCGCGACTCCTCCTAATCGGCTTACTCATCATCATTTTCCTCCTGCATAATAACAACCAAATAAGATAATTAACATAAAACTCTAGGAAAAACCCTAAACAAATAATACAAGTTTGAATCTAGTTTTGATTTGAAACCTACATCCCCATCACCCTCATCTTCCTCATCCTTATCATTCACTTTCGATTTGGACTTGTCAAATTCATCATCGGTGTTTCCTCTAGCCAAGAATCACGTAATCGAAACTAATCATTTCCACGATAACTAAAATTCAACAATTATGCTCCATAAAAGCACAACTTCAAAAACGAAAACGCTATCAATAATAGAAAGTATACTAATATTTTGTTGTAAGCGACCATGTCTTTGTTGTATGTAGTCTTTCTCTCTTAGCTTTAGCCACAAAAAAAGCTTTCTCTTGATATTTTTAAAAATTTTTAAACCCATTAAAAAAATAAGAGAGAGAGCGAGAGAGAACTAACAAAAGGAGAGGAGGGAGGTTGGGGAGGAAGTAGGGTGGCATAGGAAGGTGGTTGGGGTTGGTGGGGGTGGCGATAGGAGAGGAGAAGAGGAGGAGGAGAGGGAAAGAGGGAAAAATTATGGAGAAAAAAGGTCTAGTAGGTTTTAGGGATTTAGGATTAGCGATATATGCAATTCGTCGCTAATCCATCGCTAATTAGCGACGGACATAAGTTTCCATCGCTAATTTGAATTTTAAATGAACATCTAATTTTCTCAATTTTTTGAAAATTTAGGTAATTAGTGATGGAATAACTTTCTTCGCTAATTAAAGACGGACATAAGTGTTCATCGCTAATTTGAATTTTTAATGAGCACTCGATTTTCTTAACTTTTCAAAAATTTAGGTAGTTAGCAACGAAATAAATTTCATTCCTAATCTGTCTCTAAATCCCTCGCTAATCCATCATAATTCTATTGTTGAAATTAGCACATAGTTTTATTGCATGCTTTAGCAACAACATTTTTTTTGGTCGTTCAATTTTTATTATAAATCTATCGTAGGTCCGTCGCTAATTGT